TGAGTGTATGGCCTGGGGCTATGGTGGAATCTTATGGCAGAAGTATTTCCTTTTCTGTTGTCCTCAAATTTGTATCTCCAAGTGTGAATTCCGATCACTCGGGTTTTGAACCGAAATCTTTCCTGGACAAGATTGTCTGACATTCTGTGGTTGCTTTCCACTCCTTCTTCTCTCCTGGTCTGCGTCCATACTCTCTCTCTCTCTCTCAACCACACTATATCGTAATGGATGAATTATGATAACCCTTACTTCTCTCGTTCGGTATGTACATGCGGTGAGTCGCATCAGAGAGTTGTTGTGGGATGATTGCATGGCTGATCGATTGGATGATCTGATTGCTTGGGAGTGATGTATGATTAAGATCTGTTTAAGAGCTTATCTTCGCTGCCATGTGCACTGACGGCCCCAACCCGACCGAGCGCCAACTTCCCGTGCCCCCGCTGCGCCCCTTCCCGTACAACGAGGAATATGTGTATGCGAGTGGGACGTACGAGAAGCCGTCGCCAAGATCGAAGGACGTTATTTCTTTCCTCCCAAAACTCGGTGTTCTGGATTTGTCGATGCGGGTTTTATTATCATCGATATGCACTTCCCGCCATATTCGTTGTTGCTGCTCTTTAACGAACAAATCGTCGTATGGGCGGCAGTGGAACCTCATTGGCCTAATACACTGTGCAGAGATTGCCGCCGCTTCGAACGCTACCAGGCCAAGGGATTCCACTACCGCACACGTGGTGAGGACAAGCACAAGGAAAGAGTCACTCGATTGAGACCCTCCACATCGGATTCGGAATTGTGCAGCGAACGCCGACGGGACCTCGTCCACAAACGGGATACGACATATGTACCTGCCCCTTTTCACTCGAAACGTAGAGCAACGGCCCGCTGGGAAGTTCAACGATACTTTTTGGATTGAATTTCCCGTAGGTGCGAGGGCCTTTTTCTCCCGACAAACCCTCGCGGCGATGGACCTTCGTCTTGCTCCAGTCGGACCAACACGGGGTATTTCAGTTTTGTCTGTGTCCCCACACTCAATTTTCCAAAAATCCTTGGCACACCCCATCTATGCTGTCTTTCCCAGCCCCCTTTCCTCAAACCAAAACACTCCGAGCGAAAGATAGCACAGGGCGTGAGGTTGAGCGTCTAGGGCCCTTATTTTCTGTCTGGTCGGGCCCTGCAGGCCCGTGTGGCTGAGCAGTATGCCACATCCAACCTGTTTATGCGTGTGTGTGTTTGTATGTTATCAACCTGTGTGTGTGTTTGTATGTTATCAACCTGTGCGTGAGTTCATGTGTCTGCATGGATGTTGTGAAGGCGTCTCTGAGCGTGTCCTATAAGAGAAGTGCGTGTTCATCATACTGCAACCGTGCAGGGGTAGGATGGATATCACTACCAGTGTGGGTCCACTTTCAAACAGGGGGACATGGACAGTGGTTAAGCCATCCGGCTGCTCAGGCCGAGATCACCCATTGGACTCTGTACAGGGTCGATCCAAGTTGTGCATAAAAGAACAATGCTTCTACATGGTATTGGGGCTTGGTGGCTACGAGGGCTATGCCCTGTAGGAGGGTCTCGGATGAGTCTCAGGCGATGCCGTGTGGGGAGAGTGTACACTCATACTGCAACTGTGCAGGGTGGGGAGGATTTCAGTACCGGTATGGTTCCACTTTTTAACACTGCGCGATTGTTCCGGTGATCAAGGCGTCTGGCTGTTCTGGCTGTTCAGACCGAAAGGCCCAGTTCGATTCCTTGCAGGCTAGGGTCGATCCGAGCTGTGCGTAAAATACTCATCTTGTGCTGTATTGGGGGGGAAGGGGGTTCATGTATTTGTGTTTGTGTTGCTTTTGTTTGGTTCTGAGCTGGTGCCTTTACCGCACGTTCGTGTGTGCCTCGTGTGTGTGTGTGTGTGTGTGTGTGTGCGCGCGCTATACACAACAAAAAAAGCATATGACTGTGCCAGACTGTTTCGTCTGACTTTCACTGACTGATGTTCACCGACTCATGTACGTGACTTAGTGGCAAATATGCATGTGTGTGTATGTGCCATTGCATGCCTGTGTGTTGTGTTTGTGTGTTAAGGGGAAGGGGACAAGGTGAATGTGTGTGCTTGGGTGTGGGCATGCTTCGTTTTTTTTCCTTTCTGTATTTTCGTTTCTGTCTGCGTGTGTGTAGTTTGTGTCTTGAGGGGGGGTTGAATGTGTGTGCTTAAGTGTGTTTATGCTTCATTTATTTTCGTTTTTGTTTTCTTTTTCTTTTTGTTTGTGTGTGTGCTTGCACGTTGTGTTTATTTTGGGGGGAGGAAGGTGGGGTGAGAGGGTGCTCTGTGCTGTGCGTGTGT